AACTTCCATAATTCCATTCAAAAAGTTAAACAGTAATAGATGATAGATTCAGGGCCCACAATTTAAACAATTTAAAGTATTTATTTGTTTATTTTTTACATAATTTGAGCTTCCAGATCATGAAACCCACGAAAACAAGATTTCAAAAAAATTAGAATACTGTGGAGACACCAGCCCACAATACTTCTCAGCTTTTGCAGAAAAAAAGAAAGAAATCAGGATCACAACAAATCAATCAAAAGACGGTACTTTCAAAACGATATGTCAATTTTCAATACTTAGTTGAGTTTAACCACTGCCTCGATGAGACGTGGCATTGACTGGGAGTTATGGAAGTCCAGATTTCCTTGATGCTGTCAGCTCTTCTTTGTTGTTGGGTCTGGTGCTCCTCATTTTCCTCGTGAGAATACCTCATAGATTCTCAAAGGGGTTTAGGTCCGGCGAGTTGGCTGGCCAGTCAAACACTGTGGCAAACCAGTTTGTGGTGCTTCTGGCAGCATGGGCAGGGGCCAGGTCCTGCTGGAAGATGAACTCTGCATCTCCATACAGATCCTCAGCAGAATGAGTCATGATCCTCTAAAACATTCTGGTAGACTGTTGCAGTGACCTTAGATTTAAGAAAGCACAGTTCACCAACACCTGCACCGGACATTGCACCCCCAATCATGACTGACTGTGGCTATTTCACACTGGACCTCAAGCAGTATGGGTTCTGTTCCTCACCCTTCTTCCTCCAAACCCTTGGACTTTGATTTCCGAATGAAAGGCACACTTTACTTTCATCGAAAAAGAGGACCGAGGAACCCAACAGTTCCATCTCCCCGATGTGTCTGAATGTGGTGTTTTTTGAAGCTGTGGCCCATTCCACTCTTTCTGGATCTCTGCCAGATTCTGGAATCTTCTCTGTTTGATAATCTGCTGAAGCCCACGGTCATCTCTTTTGCTGGTGCATCTTCTCCTGCCATATTGTGCCCTTCCACTAGACTTTCCATTGATATGCTTGGACACAGCACTCTGTGAACAGCCAGCCTCCTTAGCTACGAACTGTTGTAGCTTACCCATCCTATGGAGGGTATCAAGGATGGTCTTCTGGCCAGATGATTTGTCTGTTATCTTCTCCACATTGAACCGAACTGAAGCAATTTAATGACACCTGGGGAAACCTGTACAGGTGCTTTGAGTTTAGTAGATGAGTAGCGAAACATGTATCTAGATACATAAAATAAACCAGGACAGAGATAAAAGGAAAAAAAACAAACTGTTAAAATAAATTTTAAATAGTTATTTCTGGTAAATGAAAACTTTAAATATAAAAAGTTACAGGCGTTCTTGGGTGAACAAAACATTGAGATAAAATTGTGAAAGTTGAGACAAATCGTGCAGTTAGAGCTTTATTTTAGGCAAATATTCAAAAGAACAGGCTGTACAGTCAAAAGTCATATCCCACATGATCCGTTAGCTCTTGGAGGACGTGTTGTGAACGACTCTCAGCTACTACCAAAACACTCTTTAGCGCTTAATCTGAAAAACTGCACGAGCTACAACCACTTCTGTGTTTGTTCAAATCTCTTCACTGTGGCAGCCACCTTGAATCACGTGGACTCCAGATGTTCAATCATTCGCACATGTTCATCTATTTATTACTTTCTGAAACGTTCGCTCAAATCTACAGTGGTTCATAAGATATTTTGCTAACAATATAGACAAACATACAGATATGGGTAAACACACAACTTCCAAGATAAATAGGAAAAATGGGTGCATTTGCCAACTTGCTAACCCTAGATGCCTTATTAAAAACAACAAATATTGGCGTTTAATTTGTCAAATTAATAGAAATGAACATTAAAGATAAAAAAAAAAAAATTCAAACAATCCATACAGATGTAAAAAGTCCAGTTTTTGTCCCCAAGCGGGACTTGTCCTGTCCTCCACTTCCCGACCGTGACCACTAACCCAGTTTGCTGTTCTCCGGCAGCCCGGTTCTGTTTAATCTGTGCCAGCTGCTGATGTTGCAGAACACGTTATCAGCTCAGCGCGACATGTGGACCCGTCTCAGACGCTCCTGGTTTTTAAACACGGCGCTGGAAACGTGCCAAGGCTCCAGGTCCGAGTCGAAATGTCCAATCGTGACTCCAACGACCCACAGAAACTGAGAACTCATCACTAATCCAGATTATTTCTCGTTTATTCTTCCATATTTACAGCACGTTTGGTCATTTTTCCATTATCTGCTGCAGGGGAAAGGGCGACAATGTTTTTTGCCTTTGTGTTCATGTCGTCATAGTAACATATCGTATGGACTTTAGGATTTTAATGAAACTCTCCGGAAGCAATCGATCAATGTGCATCTAGCTGAATCACTTTTGGAGTCAAGCCAATTCAACATGGCCGCCATAGCCATCTGATAAAAAACAAACAAACAAAAAAATTAAAACATGGCTAAAAAAAGCCCATTTAACATATTTATTTAGACTCGGGTGTGGTAGTAGATGAGCGTTGTCCCCATTTTATACTCTGAGTGCCAGCTCTCGTCGTAAAGCTTTGCCAATAATTACTGCGGTCTAATCTGTTTGTCTGTTAGCAAAATATCTCATGAACCATTGAGCGGATTTTAATGAAACTCTCAGGGAGCGATCACTAGATGCACAAATACAACTGATAACTGTTTGGAGTCAAGCCAATTCAAGATGGCCGTCAAAGCCAACAACTTTTGATAAACACAAAAATGAGTATAACTCAGTCAATTTTAGAGATACTGGGTTAAAATCCGACGTGGTAGTAGCTGAGAGTTGGCCCAAATTTATAATCTGAGTGCCAACTGATCGTCCACAATCTTGTCTTAAAGCTTTGCCAATAATTACTGAGGTCTAAGCTGTTTGTCTGTTAGCAAAATATCTCATGAACCACTGAGTGGATTTTAATGAAACTGTCAGGAAGTGATCACTAGGTGCACTTTTACAACTGATAAATATTTGGAGTCAAATGAGTTCAAAATGGCCACCACAGCTAGAGTCCTTAAATAAACACAAAAATGAGTATAACTCAGTCAATTTAATATATACCGAGTTAAAATCTGATATGGTAGTAGTTGAGAGTTGTCCCCAATTTATACGTTGAGTGCCAGCTCTCAACTTAAAGCTTTGCCAATAACTACTGATGCCTACGCTGTCTGTCTGTTAGCAAAATATCTCATGAACCACAGAGTGGATTTTAATGAAACTCCCAGGAAGCGATCACTAGGTGTGCAGTTACAATAGATGTACGTTTGGAATCAAACTAATTAAAGATGACCGCTACAGCCAACTTTTAAAAAATATATATAAATGAGTGTAACTCCGTCAATTTTATACTGAGTTAAAACCTGGTGTGGTAGTAGCTGAGAGTCATCCCCAACACAAACTCCAAGCACTAATTTGATATGATAACATGACATTTGCAGAATTTTATTTTCAAGGTCTCAAAATAAGCTTAATCTAAAGGCGGCGGGCGATATCCATTCTTTCAAGAACAGCTGGGCCTCTATGTTTCCTTGTTTATTTATGCTTTAACCTTTAAATGTTGCATAATAATAAAAGAGTCCCCTCGTTCCTGGTAAACATGTTGCTGTTTATCCAGCAGAACCCCGTGCAGGAACAGAACCGAGCTATAAATAGGTTCTGACTGCGGCTGTCGGTGGGAGCTGACCCAAAACATGATCACGCGCCGTCATCTCTCACCTCCAGGCGTGGTGCTGAACACGGTGCCCCCCGGAGTCGTGGAGTAATCCTGGGGCATGAGGGCAGCATCGTGGATGGCCACCCTGCGGACGGCGGGGATCTCCCGGCTCCTGGAGGCGCGACCTGCCGCTGACATGTCCGCACAGCCGGAACCTGCGAGGGGAAGGACGGACTC